TGAATGGAGCTAGGGTTGGGGTTATCTAGACCATAGACCTTATTTAGTCCTAACTTATAACCCTAATCGTAGGCTTGCAAAGTAGGCTATATGAATTTGGGGTTTTGAAAGCTTTTCTCCCAAATGTTGGCAACTGGGACCTTAAATACTTTAAGTAACAAACACAGTAAAAGTTTAAAATTCTACAAATCTAAAAAGAACACCATAAAATCCATATGGTTTGTCAGTTACTGGCCCTTTAAGTACTAGTACAGCTATAATTTAAAAAGACTGGGACATATGCATTGTGTGTTTTGTGATGAGGCAATGCATTGGAAACTGTACTTATTTTAACAGTTACAATTGTCTTCCTCTACATGTACAGCAAGGGATTCACAACTTCCAGCAACATGGTTCATGAAAATCAGACACCCCTGTGCTTCAGAAGGGTTTGAAGGGGTCCGTAGGGGTATGGTTGAAGCTAGCATCGGCGAAGATGGCCAGCGTGCCCACAGTGGTGAAAACGACGAAAATCCACAGGAACATCCGGTCCACCACCATTGCCACATATTGCCAATCTTCTTTCAGCTAAAAGAGGCCAGCGAAAGACAAGAGATTAAAAAGAGAAAGAACGGGTAGGATAGAAAGAAAATGAATATGAGGAAAGGAAAATAGTGGGAAAATGGCAAAAGACAGACAGACACAAGAGACAAAAAGACAACAGTACAAACGTCAGAAATAAAACCATGCTGTTCAGATAAACAGTAGAGAGGAAGAAAAAATGGAAGAAAAATAAAAATAGTAAAAGGCTAAAGTAAAAGAAAACGATAACCCTAACCCTGTGATAATATGTTTGTGCTCCTCAAAAATGTCATCTCAAATCTTGACAATTAGGAGACAAAGAAAACTGTCATTCTAAGTGATATGCATTACAAAAATACTTTTGCTTGGTTTATGTTTAAGGTTTAGGGTTAGAGGTCATCACTAAAGACAACTTAGATATGCAGTGATTAAGCTTTATCTGTTGAATGCTCGAAATGATCAAACCCTGCCCTTCACTCCAGATGTGACCTTGTGGATCTTAGAAGGTTAAACGTGCTCAAACATTCAAACTTACCGCCTCATAGTCTTTTTCAGCCTGCAGAGCCTCGGCTATGTACGTGATGGCCTCCATGGCTGACTTGAGCTCATCAGGTAGTGCAAGGTAGGTACTGGGGCCATCAATGAACTTCCTCAGGTCTGTGCATATGCCATCCGGCTGGTACCTTCATGACAGCACAATTATAATAATGTTACAGAAAAGTATCAATAATAAACAAAATATTGTGATGGTAAATATATATGCCTGGACGGATTCAGGAAAAAGACAGACAAAGAGTGTCAACACCCAAAGACAACAAATGCACACGAGCGTGCAGAATGTAGCGATGTGTGAGCAGGTGTCAGCCCACGCTAATTAAAAGCTGTAAAATAGCTCAGCTTTTATGAGCTGGGCTGCGCGTCTCCTTTGCACTCTACTGTCAACCACAGAGGAATAATGAGAAGGTCAGAGGAGCTCCCCGGGTCCCCCTCTGCGAGTTTGTACAAGGCGCTGCCCTTCACATGCTGACCAAGCTGCTCTATGTGTGCGTGTGCATGTCTCTGTGTTTAGTTGTTGCCCTTAGTTACCAACTGTCAGCTGCTGCTGGGTGCCAGGAGTTATTGGGAGAAGCTAGTAGAAAGGTGTTGTGTGTACCTGTGTGACCCTGCTGTCAGTTATAAATACTGTATTAACGTGACAGTTCTAACTTTAGAGGTCAAGTTATTTTTCATTTCTTTATTTTCAAAACATAGAAAGTAAAAAATGTGTTACGTCACTTAGTTACATCGCAAACAGACAATCTTCGAAGGCACTTTATAATTTGCAATTATTATTTTATTTTATTTTATTTTTATCATGTCTGCTTTCAGACTAGTTAAAACAAAATATCCAAAATGCTTTTTTACAGTTGTTTACAATTACCAAACATTGACTATTTTATATTTATACAAATTAATACATATGTAGTTTACATATTTAAATACATGTATTTAGGATGTGAGTAATTTATTGTTAAAGGGCATTTAAAATTGTTTTGAATAAATAATGCATGAAATTTTATGACTCTCCCCAATAACCTCAGACAAGCCTGTTATTAGAAGTTAATTCGTCATCAGCACCATAACAATATGATCAAACAAGTCGTTAAATATGACCAAAATTTGTAATATATAGTTAGATTAGATCATGCTAACTGCTAACTGAAGCCTGCCTTGTCATTGATGAGTTACTGTTGCTATGATAATCTGGTAGTAAATCAAGAGCTCCCACCATCAGTGTTGCCAACTTAGCGACTTTGTCGCTATATTTAGCGAGTTTTCAGACCCCCTAGCGACTTTTTTTCTAAAAAAA